TAGGTTTACGCGGCGCAATGCAACGCTATGCGTAAAAAGACAGTATAAGTCATTATAATCCGTAATTATGTCCCCACTGGATGCAACAAATGCCTCGTTTATAATGGGTTTTAATGTTTTTGTCTCCTCGCTCCGGCCGGACAGGGCATCACAATATGGTAAGGGGCGTAACATTTCCGTCACACGCTTGAGGTATTCGGCCAATCACAACGCACTGGATAGCTGGCCAATCAGAGCACACCTCGCTTTTCAGAACGATGAGCTTTGTAAAAATTGACGCATTTCAGAAAGGCGGGGCATAGAGGAGATACAATAATGTACAATATGTGGAAAATAATGTGTTTTTTGAACCTTAAACCGCATAAACACATTTCATTACACCAAATACACAAAATAATGTTATTTTCAGCAACATCATATGACCCCTTTAAAGCTACACCTTTAACAGCAGTCAGCTTGATTAACATGAGGAGTGGTATATCAGTCCAATCGGAATTTATTGTGGGCGTGGCTACCCGGTGTAAAAGAGTACACAGTGCCAGCCCACTTTATCAGCAGCCTTGTTTCTGGAAGTATTTTTGCCATTCATTTTTCCCATATGGATTTTTCTAAAGTCTTCATCAAGGTGTGATAAGCCGTGAAGCAAACCAACCAGGTACAAGGTGAATCACAACATTACAAACTTTAATTTGAAGCAAAATGTATTTGAAAATCTGACAAAAGGACAAGACTGTGTACTTAAGAGCTTTAATGAGGGAAAGAACTGCAATCCCATGAAGCCTTGCTAGTGACATAATAAAAATGACAGATAAATATAAAAACTATTGATTTATATATATATAATTTCCTTTGATTGGTGGAGATTTCTCTGCTGAATCATGGGTAATGTAGTTTTTCACTAGGAATTCCACTGTTAAACATGATTATAATTAAAAAAACATGTTGAAATAATGCGAACTGGCGGTTTCAACAAAAGCATACACCATTGATTAACAACCTCAGATCTAACACTAGGTCTGTCTTTGAGTTATTGTCAACAATCAATTCTCCTTTGGAGAAAATGAATGGGATTTTTACCAACAGAACCTGACTATTGCATTCTACATAAACATAACAACAAAATGTAATGCTAATCATTGCAGGTTAGGACAAAAACTGAAATTGACATGGTCAATTGGTTACACAGTGTAAAGTTGTGTTCAATATAATTAGACAAAAAACAGCAATATAGCACTGTTACTGGAAAATCTACATTGTTTTGAATGCAGCTAAGTACTGTCATGCTAGTGAAAAATGCTAACAGTGTTACTTTAAGCTAGTTACCCTCCACTATATTTGAGGGTGTTTGTTTGAAGATTTTTACTTTAGTAATTCTACAATATATTACCAAACAACTGACAAAATGTAATGCTAAGCTGCGTCCCAAATGACACACTACACTATGCACTTATGTCCTTAACCATGTAGTGCATGAATTATATAAGGTTATTTTGTTATTCATATTCAGTCTGATAGCTACGTAATTAAAGCTGCGACAGTTGAGTGCATGACCTCATACGTCATTGCTTCCGTTTAAAACAGTGAGCGCAAGCTAGATTCAAGTGATTACTACGTTTTGAATATGGATATTTTTCTTACAAAAAGCATCGATTTTTTTTCTCAGTGTGAACGCACTACTCGCACTATTTATACTACAAAACATCATAGAATAACGCATAAGTACACGATTTGGGATGCACCTGTAGTCTTTGCTTGTCGCTATCATGGCTGGTTAGGAAAAAAAAAATACTGGAAAGGCTACATTTTTTTGAATGCATCTAAGCTACTATCACACTACTAAAAAATGTTAACATCACTAGTTTGAGCTAATTTACCCTATGTTTGCCCTATAAACCTATGTTTGAGGTGATCATTTTAATCTCATATACCAATAATTCTATAGTTTTAAGTAGGTGTCTTAGTAACCATATATACCAACATCCTCTCAGAACACTTTAGCAACTGCATGACATAAAATGCTAAAAATCATTCAGAACACCTTTGCAATCTGATAGCAACAGTATGGCATTGTGGTGGCAAGTTTTACATGAAAAGTACCACTCACAAATGTAAAAAGTAGTTTATTAGCATTGTTCATTTAAAGCACAGAAAGTGTAGGTGCTTCTATAAATGGGATTTGAGAAAACAAAAGTGTCAGTGCCAGGCTGCCAGCTCACAGGGTTACACTAATATGATTATGTGGATTATGCCAACGAGCTGGTCCGGGGCTATATTTCATGCTCTCGTTTGGGGGAAGTGTTAATTGGTTTGGAGCGTTTGATGCGACTGCTGCTAAGCCGGATGGGGGAGGGTGAATGTGAGTCTGTGGAAAAGTGTGTTTCTGTTTTGTGGCCTTGGAGGGATTCAGATTGATGAAAAGAGATCCCACTTTGACTCCAAGGCCAGAGCAATGCTGGCTTTCTTTCTCTTATAGCATACCGCTGGCTCATGTGTATCTCAAATTGGATTACAAAGAGATAAATGTGAATGAGGTTTCTGTGAGTGTGAAAACTTTCGATCACTGGAGGTCTTTTTACAAGACGACTGCTTGGAGGAAGTAAAATATCTTTTGAGCTTTCGTATTGAGGAATGTGGTTGAATTATATCTTGGAGACATCAGATGACATTAACCACCGACCTCAATTGAAAAAAGATGCAGAGGGCAGTTCGTATAGGTGACAAAGGAAAAAGGCAAATCAAAGAGATGAAAATACAAAATGCATTAAAGGGACATTAAAATTCTTTCAGTTGCATTCATTTATATTTAAATATAATCTAGCTCAGAATTTAAATATGTATGGTTTACAAGATATTAATCAAATTGGCTCTTTTAGGTAATAAATAAAAAAATAAAAAATAAAAAAAACGTTTAGCTGTATATTTGACTATTGTCATAAAGTCTGGTCTACTTATTTGCCCACTGAGGCAGAAAGAGACTGTCTGACCAATTACGGTTTGGAGATATAAAAAATATATATATAAATATAATACTACTACAACTACTAATAATAAATATTAGAGCCCGACCGATATATCGGTGTCGGCGAATATGCCGCTGATATGAATTTTTATTTTTTTAGAGAATATATAACGCAGATAAAATGCTTGAAATGGTGTAATTACTTCGTTTGTCCAGCAGAGCGTGCTCCATTGTTTGCTACTGACGACCTGGATGAAATGCTTTAAAGTTTAAGTCTATGGAAAACCATTGAAACGTTGAACGGCCATATCTCTGGCGAATCCACACCAAATTCAGGGGATCCCTTCAGCTCGAGGAACCCTCTCGAACGTGAATCAAGTGTACGTCTCGAGGCCCTCTTTCGAATGAGACCACGCCCGCGTCGATAGCCCCCGGGGTTCGGGAGTTAAGGGTGGTTAAATTCGTGGTCCGTCGCCGTCCGATCTAGCGATCCCGGAGGGCTACCGACGCTCGGAGGGAGGGTGGCGTTCGAGAGGGCTCCTCGAGCTGAAGGGATCCCCCGAATTTGGTGGAGATCCCCCGGCGCGTTCGCGAGATAGTGACACCAGCCAACACTTTCACTTCAGTAAGGAGGTCCTGTAGTGCCCTGTGAAGTGGAATATCGGCCTTTTTTACTCCCTAATATCGGTATTGGTATCGGCCCCCCAAAAAAACCCATATCGGTCGGGCTCTAATAAATATACATTTCTACTTGTGGATATCTAGTTTGATTTCAAGTAAAAGTCACAAAAATCTAACCTGCGGACTTTGACTGTGCAAAGCTTGACTTGAGCTCACAATGAACCAAACAAAATGTTTAGAAGTAAAAATCTTGCAATTTTATTTGCATATAAAGGCAGCTAAATATATCACAATGAAACCTGAAGAAAAAAAAAAAAGAAGAAACGTATCTAAACTTTCTCAGGAATGAGACTGTAACTGAAAGAAAAGCTGAGAGGCATTTACAATGGCAAGAGTTGAAAACTACTGGCAACATTTTTTTTTTGTGCTAGCAAGACTGCATTTACACAGTGCAAAATTACAAAAAAAGAGAAACAAAAACTATCATACGCAAGATATCAAAGGACAACTAAACCTGGTTTTGGCAGGTTCAAAGAAAAAAAAAAAACAACCTTTGAGATTGTACATTAAAATAATTTCAAATCGAGTACTCGTTTATTGTATGGAACAATACGCCGTAAAGTAGGCAACACTGAAATGAGCTTCAGAGGAACATTTCATGAAAACAGAAAAGAGCATGTGTGCGCTTCACGCACTTTAAGTCATCACTTACAGGCAAAATTATATTCTTCAAGAGGCTTAGAACAAACACAATTTTACTTAGAGATTTTACAGCTTACACACATACATATAGATATACTCATATTTTAAGACATTTTCCAATTTCTATGCAGAATGAGGCGCTCCAGAATATACATGAGTTCAAATGCATCCATGTCTTCCCTGCGCTTGTAAAAAAGTGTTCTTCAAATGCAAAAAAAGAGAGAAATCACCTTAGTTTTGAATAAAAACAATAAATATGGCGCTTTCTCTTCGCTAGCAGAAAGAAGGGGCTCCAGAACTTAAAGCTAGTTTAAGGCATTATCCCTGTCAGCTAAAAGAAAGCTTAATTATCCTGAAAAAGAATATACAAAATGAACAATGGCATCCCATACCAACATACTTTGAATATTGACAAAAAAAGAGACAATTTTACAAATTCACAAAGCTTATTATCTTACAGATTTAATCAGATCTTTTCATAAGATTGTTCACCACTTCTGTACTATTTACCTGCATGACCCCGTCCGTCATCAGAAGCTTCCACTGAATCTTTTAGCAAAAGACTGGCGATTTTAAAAGAAACATTCAACTATTTTTTTTCCAAAGTATTGTTAGAAAACGTAAGGAGAAAAGGAGAATATGGTGACACTTGCGGGCGTCTCAAGAGCTTGGGGGGTTCGGGAGGTCGAACACGATGGGAGGGTTGGTGGGTTGAAAGCTGACTGTACAGGTAGAGGCGTTGATGAATGTCGTGTACCCGTCTGTCATAATGCCGTAACCTAGAGGAAATGAGAAAGGGAGGAGTCAACATTCATATGCCAAACTTAAAGGGATAGTTCACCCAAAAAGGAAAATTACCCCATGATTTACTCACCCTGAAGCCATCCTAGGTGTAGATGACTTCCTTCTTTCAGACGAATGCAATCAGTTATATTAAAAAATGTCCTGGCTCTTCCAAGCTTTATAATGGAAGTGAATGGGGGTCGAGACTGTAATCTCTAGTTTATACTAACTCTCGCACGTGTTCAAATATGGATATTTTTCTTACACAAACGTATCACTTCGCTTCAGAAGGCTTTTATTAATCCCCCGGAGCCGTGTGGAAGACTTTTTATGATGGATGGAGGCACTTCATTTTGCTTCAAAATCTCAACACCCATTCACTGCCATTATAAAGCTGGGAAGAGCCAGGACATTTTTTAATATAACTTCGATTGTATTCGTCTGAAAGAAGGAAGTCATATATAAGTCATCCTCATTTTTAAGTCATTTTGGACAAAAGAATCCACTAAATCAGTGGTCACCAACCTTTTTAGGCCCAAGATCCCTGACCTCGGCCTTTATGAAACAAACTGGCTTTAAACAAAAATATCTAGCCATTTGAAATTAGAGGCAACCACTGCATTTTAATCACGATCTGCTCGGGCATTATTAAGACGTGTCAGTATGAGCATTTTAAATAACGTCTATATTCAGAAAAGGGAATTATGAGTTTGCCCACTGACTGTGTGTGTGTGCACAAACAAACACATTGAGGAAACACAATAAACAGTGCAAGGTCTTTCCTCAAGTGGAGCACTTGTCCTTCTCTGTCTTAAACATGTTTCATTAAAACTATGATAATAATAAAAAGCCTCAAAAGCTGGAGGGAGGAAATGAGGGGATGCAGCACATCTGGTGAACAGTCTGAAACTGAACCCAACGGCAGATCTCTCGGATTCCTCTTCCCTCAGTACCGGATTGAACTTGTAGCCAAATCTGGTGTTAAAATGCAACCCATATCCATATATATTTATATCCTAGACTGCTTATGGGGTTTATGTTCGTGCTGATGCAGCTAATGCTGTTCTGAGACTCTGAATCTCTAAAGGAAACAACAAGCCATTTCTGTTACAAAGATACAACATAATATACTGTACTACAGTACTATTTCTCAAAAGATTTTGGTTTCAAATGATTCTTTTTAACTTTCTATTCAAAAAATCCTGAAAAAAGTATCAGTTTCCACAAAAATATTAAGCAGCACAACTGTTGTCAACATTGATAATAATAAGAAATGTTTTTGAGCAGCAAATCAGCATATTAGAATGATTTCTGAAGGATCATGTGACACTGAAGACTGGAGTAATGATGCTGAAAATTCAGCTTTGCCATCACAGGAATAAATTACATTTACATAAATCACAACTTTTGAATAGTAGAGTATATTTTAGGCCTGTTTCAGATTTCATTTTCAAAGATCCATCAGCTGTGCTCTAGGTTATCATACAGGGATACTGGTCGACTCAAAAATATAAAAATATAGGGATACTGGTACCCAAAAGTGAACTGTGTAACTGTTACATCAAAGTCACACTTCAATATTTCTAGCCACCTTTCTGTAGTCTTTATTGTGACATCCTTCAACCATGGAAATCACAGTAGTGCATGATGACTCATGGTTTTTCGCTTTCTTTTTACATTTTTTTATAGCAGTGCCAGTTTGTTTTTGTGGTTACTCACCTTCATGAATTCCTCCGAAGGCGTGGAGTTTGGGCCGGACTCTCCTCTGAACTGTGTTTAACAGCTCAACACACCCAACTCTTTGCAGCTCCTTCGGTACCCAGTCCCTAAAACCTACACACACACACAAACACACACAGACACACAATAAATCAGCTTCTAATCTCAGAGGAAAAACAGCTCACATTGTGACTCATGTCCAATCATTTGCGCGTTTAACCTAAAGCTTCAAAATTAAGTCAACCTGTAAGAAAACAATTCTGAGGCATTTTACAACTCTAAAGTGTTATTTTATTATCATTGATATAGCATTATAGTTTTTGTTAATATTTTGAATTAGATTTTATTTTTATATTTTCTGTTTTCGTTTCTTAGTCATTTTGGTTCTGTCACTTTTTATTGGTTTTCTTTTAAATATGTTTTTATTACATTTTAGTTGTAGTTACTTTTGTACTTTAAGCGAATAATAATAATTATAATTTATTTCATTTCAGGTAATGGTTATTTTATTTTAAGTTTTTTTTTTTTAAGGTTGTGGTTTTAGTTTTAGTTTTAATTAACAATAATAGCCCTGCTCTAAGGAAAGATTTTAGTTAAAGTTATATCAATTTTGTCATTTTTATTAGTTTTTTTTAATATGTCCATATAGTTTTTATTAAGTTTTAATTGTAGTTATTTTAGTACTGCAACTTAAACTAAACAAAAATTAGAAATGTTGCTTGGAAAACTAGCTGAAATAAAATATGCTTTTTAATATTTAGTTTAATTTCAGGTAATGCTTTTTTCAAATAATGAAAATGTGTTTTTAAGGTTAAAGTTTTAATAAAATGCTCTGACAATAGATATTACTTTATGTAAAAAATTTCACTCTTTCCTTTTCCTATAACTTCATATGACGGATTTCTCGACAGTCATGACAACAGGCTTCATGCGAAAGCCATTTAATGTATTCAAGAGCATTTGAATAACTGGATGGAACTCCATTAGGATTGGTTAATTGAACTCACCGAGGGGAGGCCCATGGGTCATGAGAATATCAATGCCCTCTGGGATGAGGTTCCACTTATCGAGCAGGGACTGTCCCCTGGGCAGGTTAAAACCCCAGCCATTAAACCACGGCGTCCTGCGGGGAGAGACAGAAAAACACATTCATAAGCACCACACATGCATCCGTCCATGCGGCGGGACAGAGACGTACACGCGCCGTTTAAAATGACAGCTGACAGCAGATGTGGAGAAACAATCTCAACCTGTCAAAGTGATCTTCTTTCCTCCATCCATCCCTCTGGAGGAGGCTTCAAAGTGTGAAATGAGAAGGGCTTCACTGCAGGCTGCCATAATAAATGCAAATGCTCTGGGAGATGCAGCTTCAGAGAGCAAACAGCCCCCTCTCCCATGACTGCTATGGATTGATAGCTCAAATAAAGCCACGGGGTTAATGTAGGTACGATGCCCAAATGAAATAATGTGAAAAATGAGCGCGTGCTTGTATGTGTGCGTATTTATACATCTATATGTTTGTGTCAAGCTGAGGGTCTGATAGTGATGATAAATTGAGCGTCCATTTGTCCCAGGTCTGGTGAAAAACACAAATCACTGTCTGTGGAAATCACCAGAAAAGGAAGTCGAGCACTCTTTATAGAAAATTACAGACAGCGCAGGACACGTTTCGTGATGAAAAGCTTTTAGCAAAGCCCAATAGCGCTACATATTTGGGCTGGCAGTATGATGATGGATATAGGTAAACTGATGGAGATCGTGCTGTAGGTTTTTTTTTTTAACCATAATAGATATATTTGTGCAGGTACTGTAATAGTAGTCATGTTATTCACATGTGATAGAAAAAACGTGGAGCAATGTGAGAAATATTTTACTGAAAATAAATCGTATTTATATAAATTAAAAATATTTATATGTTCAAAGAAAATATATTATAATCAGAGTTGGGTATAACGCACAGTGTTCGAATTGTGGCAAAGCTCTTGGGGGGTCCCCCTAAACGCAAAACAGGGCTGTGGCTTTGTTTGGAACCATTTTTGTTGGGGAAATAGAACATGGTTTTATGGTGTCTAAAACGTAAGTCTCTTTATATTAACTTCTTGTTTATTGAACTGTTGTATAAAATCAATACCACATTTGTGATTTTTGCGAAAAAAATGGCACTCTTCGTGTGATATTGATCAACTATATGAAATGATATAAATATATACATTTTCTGCCCCCATATCTTGAATTTTGGGAGCATTCTAAATGCATTTTATTATACTGAATCATGCAGTGAAAGAACACACTCTAAATGAGCATTCAGTCTAGCTAGTGTTCAGTTCAGTCTAGCTAGAGCATTCAGTCTAACTAGCACTCATAACTCCTCTTATAATCAATGAAGCTGTCCATACACGGTATGATAAATGAATCTCTAACTTACATCGTACGTACATCTGCACTTTGTTGCTTAAGATGAGGGAATTTGCGAGTTTCAGTCTGAACAAAACTTTTCAGCGATGACTACTCTGAATTCCTCTGATTGGCTACTGCATTCCTAAGCTCAACAGAATCGTGTGTGATTCGTTATAATGAGCAATGCTGTAAAAACGCATAAAAATAAAATATGATGTGACATAAGCAGGTATAACTTTAATACAGCAATCGAAACTTCATTTTAAGTATTAAGGTTTTATTGAAAAACCAGGGGACCCCTGATAAAAAGGTTTATTTCATATTTCAAAATGTTGCACTCGATTTCACATATTTTAATCTGGCATTATAGTTTGGGAAAAGTCCAACTAGTAAAATGCTTACAAGTTTATGTCACAATAACACTAACATAAGTAAGAATAAATTATTTATCAGAATGATCTCCTCCGCTGGATCAAGCCGCGCGTCGCATCGCGTTCTTCTTCTGAGGTAAATTTTGGCTTATTATTATGGCTCTATCTATCTATCTATCTATCTATCTATCTGTCTGTCTGTCTGTCTGTCTGTCTATTGTCAATGAAAATATATTATATATATTAGTTTTTTTATTAATAGAAATCATATTTCCCCATGACACATGCTGTAAATTTGTTCATTCAAAATTTTTCATAAGCATAGAGTGACACAGAAAGAGAGAGAGAGAGGCAGGAAGGTTGTAGGTGCTATTTTTGACTTATTTCGCTGCAGCGTTTTTTTTGTATTGAATTTGACCAGGGGGGGAAATCAGGGCTCCGAAACATCAATAAGGTTTGATACAGTCAGAGGCCGCCACAGCGACAGCCACGAATGATTATTGAACAGCGGTTGGGTTGGAGGGGAGACCTGACACATATAAAACCTGCAGTCGTTCAATCTCAATCTACAGGAAGAAAAAATCAGATGAGTAAAAATAGAGATTTTACAGAGGTCTTAAGGTGTTGTTTCTTTAACAAGGAACCCAACTCTGCAAGAAGGTGAACAGATTTATACAAAATTGTCAAGAAATGTGTAGGAAAATGAGTATGTTAAGCTGACAAGGCTGTATTGCGTTACATCCCTGTGGTGAGAATAAGCAGAAATGTGTCTTGGGGGAAGTAAAACTCTTAAACAGCTCTGACTTGACATAACTCATAGTGAACCAGGCCATTCTGCGCAACGGCAGCAATTTGTCATAGACGCCACACAAAATGGAGCTTTCGTGAAAAAAAATCCCGCAATATTGTCCTTTAAAAACGTGAAAAAGGATGAGAGCACAGTGAGGAACAAAGATAGTTTAGCATAAATCTAACCTATATCTCATGACCTGAACATATTTCAAATAATCTTCTCAAATAAATATATTGTCCAAAAAACACAATGTTCATTCATACTGCGCAGTATATGGTAGGAATGTTCAGGTACGGATGCTGGAAGATCAGACTGCACAATGGCCCCATTGTTAGTGTCCGTGAATGAAATACACCGTCCATGTGAGTGCATTTGTTAACCTCCATAAAGATTAATGACATCCCCGTCATATAAAAGAAAGCTTGTTTCCTCAGTGGACCCAAGCACATAGGTCTTATTATACTGTACAGAGGTGTGTGTGTGTGTTTGTTTTGAAGGGGAGATCTGAGGACGGGATGTGATCCGGCTACACCGACGCACCAGATTAGATAGTACTCTCACTGGTCCACCATCTGCACAATGTCAGAAAAAACTTGTGCACAGTTTTGACGCATGCAGATGAAGGTGTACTAATGGGGATGATTGTTTTTACCTCACTGTGCTCAAAATATCCTGAAGTTTTGAACTTGAAAATCAATTCCAGATCTAATAATGTCAGTACATCAAAGAAAGAAAGAAAGAAAAAAAATGTTATATTGATAGAAGTTTCAACTATGAAAAGTTTCATATCACTATGATGTAAAATTATGTGTTCAGGATTAAATAGAATAAAATTCAAACAAGTATTTATGTCACACTCTTCTTTTATCACATCTATTTGTTTATATATATATATATATATATATATGTAATGATTATTTTAAGAGCTTTATAATTAAAATATATAAAAAAATAAAAATTAATACAATATTCTATACTTAATATAATAATATAATATAGGTCTTACTACAAAATTTTGAACATTTATACAAATTTATTAATTTAATTAATTAAAATAATAAAAAAATAAATACATAATGATTATTATTTTAAAGCTCTTAATAATAATAATAATAATAATTGTTGTTCTTTTAAGAGCTTTGTTTATCTTTAAATGTAATATTAAAATGATAGCTTTAAGATCAAGCAGGTCTCGCTACAAAATTTGGAATACTGATAAAAAAAATAATTTAATTGATAAAAATAATAATAAAAAAAAAATCAATACAAAAATCTAAAGTATCCGTACATTATGGTCAGGAAAAGAATAGCAAATATTGAATAAATGATTGTACCTGCACAGTCCTATTTCCTAGTTTCTACAGAATAATTATTAGTACTATGACACATTAATAATAATTTAAAACTTTTAAAGTTTTAATTTTCAGTACAGGGTTCAATGAAGAATTCATTAGCATACAATAAAATGATTTTGTAGTGCAAAAATTAATTTATGTGCCAACTTCAATGTATAATTACATTTACGCTAATTGTCCTGTAGCGTGTGATATTACTTACGATATAGGCTACATTTACACAGTCATTGTTTGAGACTGACTACAAATTATTGAAACGAGTGTGACTCTCGAACTGCCCTGGCTGTTCAGTTGCTTTGACACAATCTGTATTGTTAAAAGCGCTATATAAATAAAGGTGACTTGACTTGACTTGACTTTACACAATAGCTTACAGAAGTGAATACTGTCAGTATGAACAACTTCCAGTCTTACTGAAATTGACAATGTTCTTCAAAAATTAACCAAAATTCAAAATATAAATATTAGCAATTTGGCATCAATACACTATAGCAGGGGTTCTCAACTCAGGCCCTCGAGGTCCGCTTTCCTGCTGAGTTTTGCTCCAACCCTAGTCAAACACACCTGAACAAGCTAATCAAGACCTTCACTGTTATGAGAAAGTTACTGGCAGGTGAGTTTGACCAAGGTTGGAGGTAAATTCTGCAGGAAAGTGGACTTCGAGGACCAGAGTTGAGAACCCCTGCACTATAAGAAGGTCATTTAATGCACCATATTTGATCATTGTTTGTCCTCAGATGGCGTTCTGTCAACTCCAGTGAGTTCGATCACACACAGCCTCTCTGTCTCCTCATATACTGCTCTCTGTTCATGTGTGAGGAACGGATGGAGTATTACTAGCTCCAGCTGTCAGGCAGCAGGACATTACACACTGAGCAATGCAAAGGTCAGAGGCCTGCGAATATAACGGACAAAACAAACAGAGAGAGAGAGGGGGAGCGAGATAACATTAAACTCTCAATACACAGCACTCCTCTGACCCACGCCACAGCACCACGGAGCAAAATCACAGTCTTCCTGAATGTTTACCTCCTCCACCATTACAAAGGTAAGTCCATACAGCTTATGAACACAAACACTCCACCCACACTCAGCACGAGCTCCGCGCTTGAACCGGATACACTATTAAAAAGTCCACCAGGGTTTGCGGCCTGACCCAGCCGTGGCCTAAGAAACTGCCGCCAGAATGGGAAAAGAGTCTTTCCCC